AAAATCGTGGACCCTCCGGCCGTAAAATTCAAACCTAAAAGACGAGTTGTTAAGCACGAAGAGGTACACAAACAATAGCTAAACTTTATAATAAATAAGATTATTGGAATTGAATCAGTCATTGTATACTTTTAAACAAACAAGGTAAAAGTTTAGAGTGCAATGGAAGCTCTGTTGGATCTCCCACCGTTGGATTTGGTGATCCGCGGTGAAGCGAGAGAAGTCGCTCATCGACTGTGGAGTCAGGGCAGCTGGGCTTTCTTGAATCCTGTCAAGGGGCATACTGCCATCTTAGTCGAATTACAAAGGGAAGACCCCGTCCTTCTAAGCAGGGGTGATCGTATTACCCCTAAATATCGCTTCAACCGCAAGTTTATTGTGGAGTATCCAACGAGGGAGGAGTGGGACGCCGGTAGCCGAAGAGGGTTCAGGTGCTGGGGTCTCTGGGCCTAGAACTAGGCTATCTCTGCCTCTCTGTGGATACACCACTATTTTCCAGGAAGAGGAAGAGACCTCGGTGCACGTTTTGTGTCGCTGTGAAGCTCTGAGCTACTATAGGCTGACTATACTGGGGTCCGTTACTTTGGACCCTCAGGACGTCAAGTAGCTTGGACTCAAGGCGATTCTCAACTTCGCTAAAAGGGCGATGCTTGTGATCTAAGGATTGTAGAGGTGCATAAGGGCCCGCTTAAGCGGCCTATGCACTGGCTCCTTATGGTGGCCGGAATGCTTCTAATTTCAAGATTCATTCATTCATTCAAAAGTTTAATTTATCCCAATATTTTTACGCTAGAAATGTCATCCCTGCACGGAAATGCACCCAACACCAATGCACTAATAACCTCCCAATAAGCCTACAGTATATTCAGATAAGAGATAGACCGGACATAAACAAGACCACGTGATCATCGAACGCTGTAACATTCGGCAGGGACGTATTAAGAGTCACGCAGTACATATTTTAGATAGTAGATGCTGCTTTGCGTAACTTTGTAGTAAATTAGCACAATTCGATGTGTATACGATTGGTGATGGATATAGGATCATGTGGGGGTGGGATAAGAAATATATAATGATGTAAATATACATAAGGGTTTCAAAATTTTCGCTTCGATTTCCAGCTTCGGATGCCGCCTGATGTTTGGTGAAATACAGTCGAATATGATCTCAAAATGGCGTTTAAATTAGCCTAAATTAAAAATAATCGTATATCTCTTAAAATTGCTTTTAGAATATTGATTAGTATACTTTCTGATTTCTAGGTAAATATGTAACCGAATTAAAACGCTCAAAACGTAAAAAAATCCGCATGGTTGAACATTGTCAGAAAGTAGATTCTTGAATAGGTTTTGCCAAAATTGGTTCAAAAATGTCAATAATTAATTAAAAAATACAGTAGCTTTATAATTACCTATAACTTACCGAATTTGATGAACGACATCTTTTATTGGAAAGATGAGCTTGATGAGCTTTCATCATCGCTACTGCCTGAAGCACCAACGTCAATAATGAATGGCTCGACTTGTTCCTCTAAAATATTGTCCAGTTCCCACATTCTCTTTTCAACTTTGTCTTTCACGTGCTTAATACAGTTTTCCCATTTTTGCGCTGTTATTAATTCTGGTGCTTCTTTGAAAAGTCCTTTGAGGTCACAAAATTTAAAAGTTGTATTGTGCTTAGCTATATAATTTTTAACCTCTGCCCATATGAGCTCAATGGGATTGAGCTCGCAATGGTATGGAGGTAAACGGAGCACTGTTTTATTTTGACTTGCTGCTATTTCGTCAATGGCGTATTTTTGATATTCCGCCTTGTGATCCTTGACAATTCTTAATAATTGTACTTTCAGCATTGCTTCTTCAAAGTTGATATTTTTCGAGCGGAGCCAATTTTGAACATCAACTTTCCTTGAAGCCGTTGTTGGGACCTTCTCCATTCTTCGAGAATGATAAGGCGCATTATCCAACACAATTACTTCGTTTTCCTCTAAGTTCGGTAAAATTTTTGAAAACCACTGTTCAAACGATTCGCCATTCATTTCCTCGTGGTAATCTCCAGTTTTCTTAGACTCAAAGCACCACAGACCGTCAACAACAAATCCATCCTCACTGCCAATATGGCAGATAATGAGCCTTTTCCCTTTACCTGGAAATCGAAGTACTAACTGGTGTAGATTTATTTCAATAAGCGAACCTTTTTCAAATGTTTTCATCACATTCAGCGAAAAAACATTGAGACATGAGTATCAGATTGCTGTAATTGGGATTATTTAGTCATATTGAAAGAAAGAATATTGAACGTCGTATGATTACTCAGCGCTTCACAATTTAATTTAAAGTTATAAACCTTTAAAAAATGAATGATCAGGAACCTGAAATACTCGCAAATATTAATATTAACAAATTATAACTTTATAAAGCTTAAAGTATGAATTAAAATGATTAGAAATATTAGGAACGGTACACAATATAAAACTTAGTAACTTTTTTTAAGTTTATAATATTCGACATATTTTAAGATTATATTAAAAAATTATTGAAATATCGAAAACACATAAAAACATGGCTTAAAAAAGTTCTAACACATGAAAATGACAATAAAACATCCACGCATTTTATCGAAAGTTATAATGTTACTTGTAATATATTTTATCTACTCCCTGGAATTAATGGTTAGAACCTTGTTCCCAAGGTTTGAAAAACATCCGATTGTTGTCTATTACTCGTATTTACCTGCTGGATTTTTTAATCCGGTGGACAGTCCATCTAGAAAGGCCCTCCTGGATGAAGTTACAGAATCATCAACCCATACTTTACTTATAGTGTGTCCTGCGTTTACCCACGTTTCATCAAGGTAATAAATCTTCCTGTTTTGATTTCTATATTTCCCAATTTTTGTTAAATAATCCCTCCTCCATAGCACAATTTCTTCTCTATCCAGTAGTAAACTATTACGACCCCGTTTTTTCCATTTGAAATTTAAATGCTTCAGTAACGCATGGAAAGTTGATCGTTTGAAATTTGGCAACGTTGTATCTCCATTTACTTCCTGCAGTACTTTATCTATAGCAGGTATTTCATTCCTAAAGAAGAATTCATGCACTTTCCTCCTAATCGCATGCTTATCAGCTTCATCAAATGATTTAACAGTACTTTTGCGATGTTTACTGGTCATTGGCTCAGAAAAGGTGTGATTTTTTTTTGTATTGTCTTAACACATTAAACACTGATGCGCGACACACCCCAACTTTGTGAGAAACCTTCACAACAATTTCTTTGATGGTTGATGCCTCGTTCTCCTCGCGCTCGATCTTATATATATTCAAAATGACCTCTTTCATTTCTGCACTCAGGTGTCTTTTTTTAGAGCGTTTCCTAGGTGGACTACAGGAGTTTACAACTTCATCGGCAGTATCTGTACTACTGGGCATTTTGCGCAAGCAGTTGATAACAATAACAATCAATAACAAGGTATAACAATAACAACGACAAACTCAACAACTTAATAAGATAACAAACGAAAACGTCCAAAGAAATATCAAATTGCAATGATGCACACGACATACGTAACACGTCTGAACCTGAATGTGACTCTGCCTTGATACGACTGCTCTGCCGCTCGGCATAGGCATTTAATTGCGAATTGACCAATGAGGGCTCCTGTTTTACGTCGAGACGGCGGCGTTAGCGTGAAAATCACCCGAACCTTTTGTTTACATCCGGTCTATCTCTTATCTGAATATACTGTAATTCTGAAACAATTTCAAGATCAGTCTCTACTTGTCATTATTAGTGTAAGGTCGATTTAATAGTGGCTGGCAGTATTTCAATAAGTCCCTATTATGTAGATTTTCTCGACACTTGTAGTCGACGTGAGATGAACTAGATATTTTACCAATTTTTTTACATTATATAGATTCTTTACATAATAAAGGCAACCACAGAATACGCTGTAGTGGCGGCAAGTCCTGTACAATAGTGACTTTGATGCAAGAGCTCCCCTTGGATTTTAATCAAACAATAACGATTTCTTGAGGAACGTTCGAGGAAGGATTTAACATTTGCACTTCACAGTAATCTGTAATAGTTGCCACCATAGGCTGTCATCGAAGTCAAAAATATTTTTCTTTTCTGGCCGAATCCATTAAGCATCTTGATGTTAAATTTTGGACGGTTCAGTTATTTGTGGTACCTAAGTCTTACTCGGCAATGCACAATAGTAATGAAAAGTGTAGAATAAACCCTGAAAATTTCAGCTTGCTACATGGACTGAAATAGTTCTACAATAAAATCAGTAATGAATTAAAACATCGATTTTTTTACCGCGCTCCAAAGTTGCGGGATGGAGATTTTTCCCAAAAAAAAAATAAATTTATGATTTTTTGCGTTGATTTATAATTAGCTCTGTTAAAAGGTGACATAACCATTGCTAAAACTAACCATATAGCTCATCTCAAAAAAAATCACAGCCCTTAACCTAATGGTTTAGTTGTAATTGCGATTGAAAGTTCATTATCCAGTTTTTTTTACACCCTGTATACGTTGGATTTAAACAGCGCAATTTGTATCATTATCTTTATTTAAGACTAGTAAAGATTGGTTTTTAAGATCGTTTAGATCGTAGTCTAAGATATGATAAACCAACACATTCATGTGATTTTCAACAAGGTCATCAGCTCCATCAATTTCGCTCTGATTCAGCCACTCTAAACCGTTGTGTCGCTTGCGCACAGAAGCATGCTTTACTCTAATTTCACCAAATTTTCTTAAAATTTCACACTATTTTCTGTGGGGATAAAATTACGTAATATTTGTCAAGACCGCCCTCTCCCTCGCTTAGATTGAGTGACATCTACCTTGATCCCCTTCCCTCCCTCAACACCTCACGTAATTAATGAGGGTCTCCTCAAATGATGATCTAACTATGCCTGCGTAACTGAACATTCTACAACTATAGTCGCAAAATAATGAAAACTGTTAGTGTCCTAAAATAAAACTTACCAATTCACGCAATGCACACAACCGTGTGATGTTTAATCGTATATTATTATCTGTAGTTCAAGTGGTCGGATGATGTATGCTCGTCGTTGTGTATACCAATTGTTGGCAATTTTTACTATACTTTAATTCAACAGAGTGCACATAATTTAGTGATAAGATGCATGCGACAGATGATAGTAATAGCTCTTAGTAAACCGATATACGAGAGAAGATGCGATATTTCGCTAGATAATTGAGCCTTGAACGAGTGTATTTTCATCGTAAAACTAGTTTATTATTATAGTAGGCACTAAGATTAGAGCAGTCTGCTGGACCATTAAATTTCTCGAATAGAATGGTTGAGTGTGCGGCTATGCATATACAGTGGAAATGCCAAAATTTCCTCCACTAGTTATAGCGCAAGCAAAAGACAGCAGGAAATATGGCAAATTTGCAAAAATTTCCCACAAAGCTAAAAACTGGTACACACCTTAAACACACCATTATGGATAATATATCAAAACTCCACATATATCCTTAGAGCGGAAACTTCTTTTATTTATGTTAAACTGTGAAAAATATCTCGTTTTGTCATATTTCTCTAAAAATGAACTGAGCTATTAGATGTGCCCAATCTGCTTGTGTGGCTGTTATAAGAACATTTTGCCAATGTTCTTGAAACATTGCTGCTTGCTTTGTAAGGAAATCTAAGTAAACGTCCTTGAAACTCTAACAGGAGTGATAATTGTTAGTTGGGGGCGTAGAGTAATTTGGGATGCTGATTCCAACTACTTACAAAACGCCACGAAGCACTATTGATAATATGAACATGCGACTTCTGAAGCCTTCTCTCAATCTTATCAAAAAACTTGCATCAAATTCATTCATACATCGTCCGCCTGTCACAATATGGCGGACTATGTATACGTCTGTGCGCACACAATCACTGGGTGGCAGTGAAAGACGATGTCTTAAGAATTTTATCAAAATATGATAATTTACAATGGTTTTGTGACTCTTGTAAGGTTAAAGTCGAAGAGCCTGTCTCCAGTCAGATCTGTGGCAAATTGACTACATTTGAATCATCTGCAGGAAAGAAATCGAGTGTTTGCAAAGAGAAGAAGGTCTGATGCAAAAACTATTAAATGAATTGGAATATTCAAACACTGTCAAAATCAATATATTATACGATAATGATAATTTTCCAACTGGTAGAAATACTGTTTGTTACCTGTGAAGGTGGACCACTTTTGTGTCCAAGCATGTAAATACACCCAGCTACAGCGATATATACTAAGTGACATATAAATCCGAACACCCAGTTTAAATGGTTTTATTTTAATAAAAGTTGGTGAATGTATTTATCTTACTGTAAATAACAAGTGAAAAAATTTTCTGCCTTATCAGTTGGACATTCCGGTTTTTATACTGCTTTTTTTCAATTCACTAACGCTCTAAGAATGAATATTTCAGCCGCAGTAAAGAATCAACGTTGGTGGATTTTGGTTCTTGACATCCTTTACGATCGGTTACGATGCCTAGAGTACGGAGACCTGTACGATTTCGTCAACTTAGTGAGTTTGATAGGGGCCGTATAGTGGGACTTCGGGAAGCTGGACTTTCTTTTCGGGCAATTGCAGTTAGAGTGCAAAGAAGTGTAGACACTGTGGTTAGGTGTTGTCAGGCATGGCTTTGAGAAGGCCGTACGCAAAGAGCAAGGGGCACTGGACGCCGCTGTAGAACAACAGACCGTGAAGATCGCCGCCTAAGATTATTGGCCTTAAGGGACCGTTTCTCCACTACCAGGTCCATTGCAAATGAATGGTTTGCAGAACACGGAAGACCTATTGGCATGCGAAGTGTTTACCGACGAATGAGAAGTTTTGGCTTGTTTTCATACCGGCCACACTGGGTCCTCCCTTTAACTCGAGAACACCGACGTAATCGCCTTGAGTGGTGCAGACAACGGTCACTCTGGGATCAGGAATGGAACAGTATTGTTTTTACTGACGAGTCTCGATTTTGTTTAGGCATGCACGATGGTCGTGCCAGGGTTAGAAGGCGACGTGGTGAAAGGAGGAATCCACAGTTTTTTGTTGAAAGGCATGTTCATCACACTGTTGGAGTTATGGTTTGGGGTGCTATAGCTTATGGTTCCAGGTCACCTTTAATCTTCATCAGAGGTCACATGAATGCGCAGCGTTATATCCACGAAGTTCTAGAACCCCATCTTTTACCCTATGTTGACACCCTGGGAGATCCAACTTTCCAACAAGATAATGCCCGACCACATGTTGCAAGAGTCACAATAGACTTCTTTCAACATAATGATGTCACATTGTTACCATGGCCACCAAGATCTCCCGACTTATCCCCAATTGAGCACGTGTGGGATATGATGGGTAGGAGTTTGCTCAATTTGCAACATCCTCCTCAGACTCTAGAAGCACTTCGAGATGAGTTGGTGGTTGCCTGGAATGAGATACCACAGGAGGACATTAACCACCTGATCAGAAGCATGCCTAGGCGCGTTGGAGAATGCGTAGCACATTATTAAAGGGCTTTAAAGCAGTGCAATCATTTTGAAATTTTTATCATTTACTTATTATGCTTCAGTAAGTACTTATACAAAGTTTTATTAAAATAAAACCATTTAAACTGGGTGTTCGGATTTATATGTCACTTAGTATACTAAAAAAACGTGTAAACTAAGTATATTGATTCATCTGTGTTACTGGTAAAACCGGCAAACAACAAGCAGATCACCGATGTAGTCAAATGCATTAGGGATGCAGTCAATCCAGTCGAACTAAACGTTCATATAAGTGATACAAAGAAAACTAAAGATGGCGCAGCGGTATATTGCAACCGCTCGCCGGCTCTGCACAAACTGAAGGAAGCTCTTAAAATTAAGCTTGGTAATGGGTATGGGGAATCCAAGAAGTTTAATCCTCGTATTATAATTAAAAATGTTTTTTCTAATGATAATTTTTGCGATAATGATGTATTTTCTAAAACATATTGTCTTTAAATAACTTGAACGATGAAGATTTTTCAACCTCGATGAAAATAGTCACAAAGTTAAAGCTGGGGGATTCAAAAAATATGCACCTAGTTCTAGAAGTGTCTCCACCTATTCGAAAACTCCTACTAGCAAAAGGTTTCGTCTACGTAGGATGGAAGAGGTGCAGCGTAGTCGATCACCTCAATATTATGCAGTGCCGAAAATGCTGTTCGTTTGGTCACCTTGAGAAGAACTGTGCATCTAATGTATCTACGTGACTTAAGTGTTCTAGTGGCCATTCTTATAAAAATTGTGATAAGGATTCTGTGAAAATTGATTGTTATTGTAGGAGATCTGAATGTGGATATTTTGAGCGGCAACAACGTCCTTTCTCCATGTCTTCAAATGGTGGGTTTTTCTCAAATTTTCAGTGACCCTACTAGAGTGACAAGTAACACATCATCCTTATTAGATCCAGTTTTTAGTAATAAACCAGACATTATTTGCGACACTTTGGTTCTCGATTCTAACGGCATATCTGACCAAAAAATGGTATCGTGCACTCTCTCCATTCCTGATTTGAAAAATAAACAAAGGTTTGTAACTGTAAGGAACTTCAAATGCTTCAACAAGGAATATTTTCTAAGTGACTTAGCTTCTGCAAATTTTGGCGACTGATTTTTTATGAACCAGATAGATGCTAAAGTTGAGTTCCTAACAAATACACTGATGAGAGTATATAATAAACATGCTCCTGTAACTACTTTTAGAGTAAACAAACCACTTGCTCCATGGCTATCTCCCGCCTATGTGGCATTCTTAAAGAAAGAGACATTGCCCATACTAGATATAAAACAAATAAAACTGTAGAAAACCTAAATATTTACAAGCAAAAAAGAAATCAAGCGCTTACTCAGGTGAGGAAAGAAAAAAGAGCATTATCTGAACAGAATGACGAAAAAAGGTATGGATTGGCTTAAGCAGCTTAATATACATCCTCGGACAAAACCTCCTCTTCCAGATAATCTATCTGATCCAAATCAAATCAATGACTATTTTATGTGAGTTTACAGTACAAATAATGCCTCGGAAGAATTATGCCACCTATACAAAAATCGTCACTTCTTTCCACCTGTTTCTTTTTCATTCAGAATCATTGATCCTTCAGAAATTCTAGAGAACAATTAAATCTCTTAAATCAGATGTCAAAGAAATAGATGGTATTACACGAACTATGGTTAAGGTAAGAATACCCGTTATATTTTTCCACTTATTTCACATTATCAATCTGTCTTGATATCTGAATTTACTACCTATTTTGTCAAAAATCTTTGAAAAGATTGTTCAACTTCAACTTACATCATATACTAAGTGACATATACATCCGAACACCCAGTTTAAATGGTTTTATTTTAATAAAAGTTGGTGAATGTATTTATCTTACTGTAAATAACAAATGACAAATTTTTCAGCCTTATCAGTTGGACATTCCGGTTTTTATACTGCTTTTTTTTAATTCACTAACGCTCTAAAAATGAATATTTCAGCAGCAGTAAAGAATCAACGTTGGCGGATTTTGGTTCTTGACATCCCTTACGATCGGTTACGATGCCTAGAGTACGGAGACCTGTACGATTTCGTCAACTTAGTGAGTTTGATAGGGGCCGTATAGTGGGACTTCGGGAAGCTGGACTTTCTTTTCGGGCAATTGCAGTTAGAGTGCAAAGAAGTGTAGACACTGTGGTTAGGTGTTGTCAGGCATGGCTTCGAGAAGGCCGTACGCAAAGAGCAAGGGGCACTGGACGCCGCCGTAGAACAACAGACCGTGAAGATCGCCGACTAAGATTATTGGCCTTAAGTGACCGTTTCTCCACTACTAGGTCCATTGCAAATGAATGGTTTGCAGAACACGGAAGACATATTGGCATGCGAAGTGTTTACCGACGAATGAGAAGTTTTGGCTTGTTTTCATACCGGCCACACTGGGTCCTCCCTTTAACTCGAGAACACCGACGTAATCGCCTTGAGTGGTGCAAACAACGGTCACTCTGGGATCAGGAATGGAACAGTATTGTCTTTAGTGACTAGTCTCGATTTTGTTTAGGCATGCACGATGGTCGTGCCAGGGTTAGAAGGCGACGTGGTGAAAGGAGGAATCCACAGTTTTTTATTGAAAGACATGTTCATCACACTGTCGGAGTTATGGTTTGGGGTGCTATAGCTTATGGTTCCAGGTCACCTTTAATCTTCATCAGAGGTAACATGAACGCGCAGCGTTATATCCACGTAGTTCTAGAACCCCATCTTTTACCCTATCTTCACACCCTGGCAGATCCAA